TTTTTTTTTCTGTTTGGTTATTGTGTTTGTAGCAAAACTAGAGAAGAAAAAAATCAAGCCAATGATCTCACCCATTGGTCGAGAAAGTTGGCCCTGAAGCGGACTTTGGCTCTCTTGTATGGATTTTCTGGCAAAAGTTTAGGAGCATTAGTCCATATTTTATCTATGTACTCTAGCACTACAAGCGACTCGGCATTGGGTTTTTCACCATGAACAAGTACTGGGACTCTCTTATGAACAGGACTATAGTTCTGGAGGAGAAATTGGGACTTGTTTGTCAAATCTTCTTCTATGTACTCCTAGGGTATGCCCTAAACTTTGAGGGCTATTTCCACCCTCTTCACATATGGGCTTCCCCACATTCCATGCCTTCTTCTATGTACTTCTAGGGTATGCCCTAAACTTTGAGGGCTATTTCCACCCTCTTCACATATGGGCTTCCCCACATTCCATGAAGCTTTACCTTACTTTCCTCTCCCATTTCTAACTCTCTCTCTCTCTCTCACACACACTAACACACTCACTGTTTTCTTTTCAATCATGTATAGAGAGGGAGATTCAACCATTATTACACTTATCATGTCTTAGACCATATTCAAGCCGTTGTCTTTGAAGACTTGGAATATAGAATAATAGCATTTTGATTCCTGTAATAAAAAAGACAACAAAAAATTGAAAATTAAATAAAAAGATCAGAGAGAAAGTCAATATCAATGATACCCATTATGTCCTTTCTCTGAAGGCACCACCACATAGCATTTCTCTTTTTGCTTTCTTGATTAAACACTCACCAATTTGTTTCACCATTAGCTGATGATTTCCTACTTGTAGACACTTTTTTTTTTATAACCTTAACCATTGCTTCTAAAAGCAATAAGTTTTTTGTTTTGATTTCAGAAATAGGTAAATCAAAAAAAAAAAAAAAAAAAATAAAAAATAAAATTAAAAAAAAAAAAATTTAAAAATTTGAAAAAATTAAAAAAAAATAAATAAGAATTTATCAGATATGAACTGTAGCATACTTATATTTAGGAGGTTGGATAAGGGATCAGTTGGGAATGATTTCTAAAGAATTAACCACTTATAATAGCAAAAGTTATTATAAGGGAGCTGTTGTGAATGCTCTAAGAGTATTTTCAATGGCAAATGCTATTATAACATTGTCATTTCTATAATTTGACAATGAATAGTAGCAAATTGCCAAATTATAGCAATTGTGCTCCAATGGTCATTTGTCATTTTGACAAATCTCAACCAACTTTTCCTCTAATTTTATAGGTGCTATTTGGATATAGGTTTTTTAGTATTTTTTTATTATTTATTTTTTGTCTTTTGCGACCTTTTTCAAAAAATTTCAAAAAATAAATAAATATTTACATTCTACCCAACTAAACAAATATAAAATATTAAAAAATTGAAAACAAATTTTAAATACAATTCATCCCAACAAAAAAATACCACTACAAAATAAAAAAAATATATTAACTACATTAAATATTCAAAAGTCTAATGTTTTAATAATCCAATGGTTGAGATTCCCCCTCTGGAATCTTCCATCATGATCCATCTAGGGCTAAGTAACGAATCCATGAAATTCATAATATGATCCGGTTCAATCCAATCCGGTTGGTTTAGGTTAGTTTTTTTAATCCATGGTTCGGTTCCGGATCGAAAAAATAAAAATTCGTAGCCCACAGATCAGTTCCGGATTGGAACCAATCCGGACAGTATACAAATAGCCTACATTTATATTATACACCCTCCTGCATAGTATCTTCTCTTATTCCATATAAAACCTAAACCAAAACCCAAACCTAAATCCGCATAGCATCTTCTTTTATTACTTTTGTTTGTTGGTTTTTAGTTGTAATTTGTAATGGTCTAAATACTTATGGTGGAACCAGTTTTCTTATGGTTGTTTAAATTCTAGAATAGTATGTCGCTATTATAAAAAGACATGTTACTATTGTAAAACTAATATGATGCTATGTTTATATTTTTACGAAATTAAAATGTTCTATACTTTTTCTATTATTTAATTATATGAATCTGTGGTCCTAAACCGATCCAATCCGTATTTAAATGGATTGGTTTGGATTAGTTCCATGATATAAATAGATTAGACTGGTTCTAATTTTTCAAGAACCATAAATAATGGATTGATTCTGATTTTGTCCCAATCTGAACCAATCCGGACCATGCTCACCCCTAGATCCATCCCCTTTCTCTGTTTGTCATCCCGTCTTGCAAAGACTCAAGTCACCTCTCTCTCTCTCTCTCTCTCTCTCTCTCTCTCTCTCTCTCTCTCTCTCTCTCTATTGTTGAAAATTTGCCTGTTTCATCATCATCATCATCATCATTAACAACAACAACAACAACAAAAATTAATCTACTACTACTATAAAAAATAAAAGATAAAAATTAACTTTTTGGAGTTCAATTTGTTTGTTCAACAACAAATAATCAACAATTGCTTTAAAAAAAATGTTTTCCAGATCATCATCTTCGACTCCCAAAAACATACTCTGACCTTAATACCCCTCTGATTCTCTGTCTTTTTTTTTCTCTTATTTTTCTGTCTCTGTTCTCTATTGCATAATTTGTAACTAATTACCCAAAACTAATTCAATTAAAAATTTAAATGTAGTATAATTTAATGCCTGAATATGAGTAAACACATTCACATCAAGCAAATTCTGAAACTGTCTTCTAAAAACCATGCATAAAACATAATACTTATTTTAATTTCTCTCTTTTTTAAATTAGACATGTATATGCATATATGATATATGCACCCCATTTACATACATACATACATACATATATACATATATAAGAAGATGACGAGGAGCGAGAAGAGAGAGAGCCCTCCTCTCTAATCCACCCTCATAACCACGAACCCCAACGAAGGACTGACATACGGACACTCCTCGATGTAGTCAAGATATATATACATACATACATACATACATACATACATATATATATACAAAGATGGCGGCGATAAGGTAGTCAAGGACAACAGCGGCAATGGAGAACTCGAAGATGACGAAGGCGACGACCCCATCGAGGTAGGCTCGAAGTCACCAACGTGAAGCCAGACGTGGAGGAGGAGACGAGACTGGCAACGAAGGCATTGTCAAGTGATGGACGCAAGGGAGAGCTTGATGGAACTAGAGTCGACGACGGAGGCAATCGACGTGGGTTAGGGTTTGAGCATCGACGGAGAGAGAGAGAGAAAGTTTGACTCAGGGGGAGGGGGAGAGAGAAATCTGGAAATTGAGGGTTTAGGTGAGTCTAGATCGTCTGTCGTGGTTTCCTGCGGTGGCTCCTATGGCAGTCCAAAACGACGTCATTTTGGACTCTTTTTTTTTCCCCCTTATTCTTTTGCTTTTAAGCTTCTTTTTCTTCTATCTTAGCTCTCAAATCAAAGAGACGAAGATGGACGACGATGGCGATGATGGCGCAGCGACAACGACAACGGCTATCCCCACCCTCGGCCGCTCTTTCCCAACCCCTCCCAGTGCCATCGCCGCCGAGGTGCTACCACCATCCACACCCTTTTGTGTCTAGGCAACTCTATTACACATCCTCCTTGCAAAGAAGAGGTAGCATCAAATTTCTTCCCCAGATCTGGACAGTTCTATGATGCTAATAGATTCTACGAAGAACACCATCCCCATATCTTGGAGGCTTGTTTTCTTTGCAAGAAAGACCCTTCATGGGAAAGTTGAATTTTCTGGAAAAATTTTGTTTAATCACGGAAAATTCTATATATGTTTGGGGAAAGGCCAATTCTTTTTGCTCTACAAAATATGGGCTTACTAATTGGAGATGGGTTTAGGACAGAATCGGAAAAGAATGAGATTTTGTTGTTTTATTTTCTGTTCACTGTGTTTAAGGGAAGAAGAGCGGCCAATTTGAGGGAAGCACAAGAGAGAGAAGAGAAGACCCATTTCGAAGATTTTTGTTTTTTTTAATTTTTTATTTTCATATAAATAAATGTAAATGCTTATATGAGGCTTTGTTTTTGTGGGATGAAGAGAGGCCAGAGGTTGTGGTCAGCATCCATGTCTGCAAGAGAGCCAAGAGCATCGTCTTCTTCAATGAAACAAGGACTTCTTGTGGCTGTAGAGTCCATGAATGTGCTCCAATTGATGTGGGTTTTGCTTAGAGAGAGAGAGATGATGACTGAAACAAAGCCTTCTTGAGTTCTGATCTGTCTTTTTTTTTTTTTTTTTTTGAAATTTTTGCTGCAAAGGATGGGGCAATTGGCAGGACGTGTTGTCGGAATGGACGGCAGAGGATCCGGAAAGGGGCTGACTTTTGATAAATGAGTTAAAATAGTGAAAAACTTGCCATTGCCTACTTAAAATCCTTGAGTACCTACACAAGTCAAAAACGAAAATTGTTTTGACTATCACTTGACTAGGTTTGAAAGTTTTTTTTTTTTTTATTTGACTAAATATATGTCACCACAGCTCTCTTGTACTGCTCATACAAAGAGAGCTAACTTTAGTATTGAGTGCCTGCAACGGGCACATTTACCAGTCACTATAACGTATAAAACTTTTGGCAGCTAATTATTTTGCTCTTTAAATGCTTTTAGTGACAATGATAAATTGGTCACTAAAAGCATCGCTAAAAGTACCTCTTGAAAAGTCCAAAATTAACTTTTAGAGACGAATTTTCAAAAGTGTCACTGAAAATGACAATTAACGATTAAATTTATATGGCCATAACATGATTGATTTTGCAGAACTAAACATTTTTCTCAAAATGTCCCAATTAATTTGCAAAAAGGAAAATAATGGCATTTTTAGCCACAATTATATTTGATCGCTAAAAGGCTAAAAGACAAATGACTCTCTACCACACATTTTCGTCGTTAAAAATCAAAGTTGGGAATTTTGTACCCATTTAATTTCATAACTAAAAATGCACAAAAATTAAATGTCATGCAATCATATAAAAAAAAAAAAAAAATTGGCATCCACTCATCAAAACACTCCTCCCAAACCATGAGTATATAGAAAGTAAAATTCTACAAAAATCAAAACTCAGTTTTCAAATTCAAATCAAAGTAGTTCTTATTCTCAAATTTCAAATGAAGAATAGCAACAGTTTCTTTAAAAGAGAATCTCTCAAAATGTATCTTTATCAACTCCTTTGTATTCTTTCTCCTTCACATCCCTTTCAACTATCTTTGGCTTATTAGATGATGCCATACCTTAATAACAATAAATTGCAAATGTTAAAGGAATTATATTATAGAATAACTAGGAATTCGATTAAAGATGAACAAAACTGAAAGAATTGAGCTAGCACAAAAATGAAAGAAACACATCAGACCTGGGTAATTTCCATCCTAAGTGCCATTTTTTCTCCCTAAAAGTCTATAAATTTCCATCCTCAGATCTAGTTAAATCCATGAGATATGGTTCTATAAATTGATTTCCAGGTATCAGATGCGTCATCATTCATTTGCTATTAGGCCAATCCAAACTAGAAGTAGGTAAACATAAAATTAGAGTGCAAAAACAAAACTTTCCAGTATCATGAGCAGTAAAATCAGTGTCTACTCTCACAATACATCATTATCAGCAAGCATTCCAAGGATTAACAATCCCTATATTCTGGATTTGAATATGGTTATGTTCATGCTGATAAACACAACTCAAACTCACCCAAATAGAACATTTTCACTTTTCTATCAACTATTTTACTTCAAAAGCACTCACGATGGTTTTCAGTATTCTAAGATTGTTTAAGAAGTTTCTGGTGCTACTTTTTTAATCCAAATGAGTTGCTAAGCTAATGAGGGACCTTTCAAACTTCAGCACCATAAAGGAGAAGCAGGATCAGGACTCTAACATAAAATAGATATCAAGAATATTTGGAGAGAGTATTTGGGAAATAGTTATTTATTTGATGGGTAATTAAAATAAATTTTTTAAAAAAAAATTATTTCTTGAATTTAACCCAAATCACATACCCAATCAATCATTCAACTCCATAACCCTTCCAAGAACCTATCACACTTCCATCTTAAAAAGTCATCCTCAAACTAACTAGCAATTCTAAAGCAAAACTGAAATTAAAAAAATCTATTAAAAACTCAATACTACTTGAAGGATCGAGAATACCTTGATAGAGAGTGAATCAACCAGCCAATATCTTCAAAGTTGCACTGTCCCATTTTATAGTGGCCAAACTCTGCAGATAAATGGCATGTTATCAATTTCCAGATAATTCAAGAATATCCCACATTAACACTGCAAAATTATCATATCACACCTAATATATAATAGTGTAAATTACCAAATGCTCAATGTAATAAATAAAAAAAATCCCAATAAACCTTAAACATTTATTCAGTCAGTCATGGTGCAACAACATATAACATTTATCCAGTCAGTCATGCTACAATAACATTTGTCCCTGAAATTTTGTCCCCAAATTCTAGATTTCTTGTCATGAAGCAAACCAAGAGAGGGGAGGGAAAGACAGAATTTTGCAGCAGCAGGGGCTGCTTTGGGAGGGCTTTTAACCTTTGTTTGTTCCTCAAACATCAAACAAAAAAGAGAAATCAATAGTCTATATTCACTGGGGCCTGACCCACATCTCACTAGCTTTAAATCTATACCACTCACGTTCAAGTTAAGATTCAAAATAAATTTTCATGGTTAATAGCATTTTTGTTCATTACCTTGGCCATCTACAAACGCCAGTAATTATTGTATATGCAGATATACAAAGCACAATGGATGTGTTTGGAAGTCAAGATTCACGATTTGACAACCACGAAATATATATTATAAACACACGCAAACAAACAAAGATATTAAGAAAATGTTCAAGTAAAGGAATGAAATAACTAAAATCACAACATAATTGACTTCAGAAAAGTTTAATAGGGAAAAAATTGGATAATTCTCAGCTCCTTTTGAAATTTGGAATCACAGAAACAATCCTCAATTTTTCAGGATCCTAAACCTCAGGCTAACAGGCTGGTAATGGCTCATGTCCTAAACCTCAAGAAACAGTCCTCAATTTTTTACGAGCATGGAATTATTCAAAGAATATGAAACCCATGCAAATGTAAGAAAGACACTCACGTTTTCTTCATTTGGGCCATTTCAGCATAGTGTTTCTTAGCAAACATCTTACTCTTGATACCCAAAGACTGCTCAATTCAAATTGAAGCACAAATTAAAACTTCCAAGCAAAATTTCATAAATATATAAATCAGAAGAGATAAAAGTAGAGAAATTGAACCTTCTGAGAAATCTAAGATTGCTTGTGAACCTTGCGAGCCTCTTTCTTGTGTTTGCACTTGAAGTGATCATGGCGATAGCCATGTCTCTTCCTGTGAAGCTCTATTTAATCTCCTTGAGACTTAACAAATCATTTATCAAACAAAAACAACAATCAAATCAGTACGTATTCAATTAAGATCAATATCAACAATATACAACTATCAAGCACAAAAAAAAAAACAAACAAAAAAACAAATTTTTAAGCTGATAAGGGCCAGAAATGAGAAACAGTAAAGCAGCAAAAACTAGTAGTGGTCCACTTAACCAAATCACCATAAATAACACTAACCACGCATTAAGTTTTCTAAGATCGATCTTCTTCAATAATCACTGTACATCTCAAAGGGATTGCTTCAATCGGCTCAATTCAGATAACATTTGTAAGGAAACTTTCAATCTAAAGCAATTAATAAGACCTCGTTTGGGAACAGGTTAATTTAGTAACTTTTTGGCTATTTGGCTAAAATATGAGCTAAAAAAAACTAGTATGTTTGGGATGACTTTTTGGCTTTTTAGGAAAAGATGTGCAAAAAGTAGGGAGAAAAGAGAATCTTTGACTTTTTGATATGGGTTATTGGCTTTTTGGCTTTTTTAGTAACTTGTTGGCTAAACCGGTGTCACGTCCCAAAATTTTGAGACCGCAAGAGAAATATATAAAGTACAACTCAAACAAAAGAGATAACCACAATATGTTAATATACACATACAAGCAGAGTTATAACATAGATAACTTATTTGAGTTCCACTAGAAGTTTACAAACATTGTCAAACCAAAAGGTAAAAGAAGAGAGAATACAAAAACAAACTACTAGTCCAAGTTTTCAAGTGAACCACGGCTTTAAAACTTCATCTTGATTGTCTTCGGGATCACCTTCCCCGTCGTAAGCTGCTTCTTCACCTGGCATGACACGCCATGAGCTTGGAATGCCCAGTAAAAACACACACACCCCCATATCTTTTATCAATCAATCATACACAAAACAAATCAGATAACATAACATACTTCCATTAAGGTTTTATAAATTAGTAGTTAGACTAGGCATTTAGAATCCCCCCAAAGAGATCCTTCTACCCAACCACAAGATTAAACACCGGACTACTCAAAACTCCCCCTTTTGCTGCTTTGCAGACCTTACCACCCATGCCCACCTCCCGGTTATTTACCTGTCAGTGGCATTGATGGACCTCAAAAGGGACGGCCAACAAGTGGGCTCGCTTACACCAAATCGTGCCTCAGGCTTGCTTACACCCTGCACATACCATACCAATTCGTGCTTAGGGCTCGCTTACACCCTGAAACCACCGCATAGAGTCTGAATACATCCGGGTCAACCTAGGGGCCCGCCTAAACTGCTTACGCAAGACTTAACTCATTTGGTATTAATCTCATCCTAATTCATGTCATGCATATGTATAAAATTGTTCTAAAACACTAAGATAAACGTCACCCATTGCCAACCCCTTATCATTTCCCGTTTATTAGATCTTTTGCTAGGTAAGTTAGTCACATTCGGTAATTCGGTCATTTAAACGAGTATGGGAAAAACATACTAGAGGAAATATAGTCCATGGTCATCATGCATAAGTATAGTAAGGCAGGAAAATAACATTAAAAAGGCTTTGACACATTTGGAGACAAATAACATAATATAACACAATTTCCAGTACTGTTCCGTTCTGCAGGGCTAACAAGAACGCTTTGGTAAAAATACTTCTAGGCCAAATTAGGGGCTGAAATTGCACAGAAACAATATTCAATCTGTCTAGTTTCAGTTCCAATTTTCAGAAGTTGCACAGCCCCTCCACAAATTCATCTACAAACTATATTCGAAAATCTGTCCAGATTTGTCACCCTTTGGGAAAACTAACGTTTCTCTCAATCTACCTGATGGTTTTCACTCAAATAAAATCTGTTGGAAAGAGGACTCAGAGTTCTAAATTTTGACAGAAGAACCAACACGAGATGATTTTTCTAGAATTTTATAAAATTGCTAAAAGTGGACTGTTTTTCAGAGATTCAAGACCAGATTTTTCAACAAATTATCCAAGCCCTTAAAACACACAATTAGGAACTAATAAAATTTTCACAAGCTCTAAACACATAAAATATCCTACAATAAATTCAGATTTGAGAATTAGATAGATTTTATATTTCTTTTAAATTAGAGAAGTTGCAGCAGTGCCTAATTTCACAAGTTTGCAAGACAATGATACTATTTCATACCTACACCTTCACACACACCAAAAACACCCTATTTACCATCAATTTGTAACACAAGAGGCATACTAGACCATAGAATGAGATGATGAAAGGATTGGAGAAAATAAGAAAGGGGTATGTTCTTACCTTCAAGAATTCCTTCTCTTAGAATTATAGGGGGAAGGGGTTGCTCCTCTTAGAATTATAATTATTATTTGATAATTACTTCCTGCCAAGATCTTCCCATTCAATATTATGTCCAGCAAGGATATACAAATTCAAAATCTTCCAACTATTAATTTTGGTATCTTCATAACTGTATATGTATCATTGGACATTTGGACCAAGAAACCACACAAAGGTTTTGCAAACTACCATATTGTTCTAATTGTTTGCCTCTTTAGTCTAGCTAATTAGCCATGACTAGAAAGAAGGTGAAGCTTGCATTCATCACTAATGATTCAACAAGAAAAGCAACATTCAATAAAAGGAAGAAGGGTTTAATGAAGAAGGTGAGTGAGCTAAGCACTCTATGTGGCATTAATAGATGCACGATTATATAGTCAATACGAGTCTCAACCTGAGATTTGGCCAAACAACTTGGGAGACCAACGCGTGCTAGCACAGTTTAAGAGAATGCCTGACATGGAACAAAGTAAGAAGATGATGACCCAAGAAAGCTTCATTAGACAAAGGATAACGAAAGCGAAGGAACAACTCAAGAAACAACTCAAGGATATTCGAGAGAAGGAGATGACAGAAGTCATGTACCAATGTTTGAGTGGGAGAAGTCTCCAAAACTTGTCCATGGTGGATCAATGCGATCTTAATTGGTTGATAGATCAAAATTTGAAGGAAATTGGAAAGAAGATTGAATCGTTGAAGAAAACTCCGCAACAAGTTGCACCGGTGGCATTGAAGAATACTAAGGATACTCAATCACAATTGTTTTGTGCTTGGCAAGAACATGTCCAACACAAGTCAAATCAGGTGCAAAGGTTTAAGACCATAACAAATAGAGATTGAAGTTCCAATTGATATGAGATTTGTTCGTAATCTAGTCAAGAACTCTGCTATCCTCTTGCCTTCTTGAGCCTCATATCTTCTCCTCATCGCATCGCTACCATCGCACTCAACCACCACTACGATCTCTCTGTTTCTCTCTCACTCTTTCTGCAATCGTCGCAATTGCCATAATCGTCATCGCGACTCATCATCATTGTAACCCTTGCGATCAGATTGCAATAACTGCAACACCAAGCTCCTCAGATCTAGGGTTTTTGTTGGTGGTGGCAAAGATGGATGAGTTGAGAGAGAGAAGAGTTCAGTATGGGGAGGAGTTCAGTATGGTGGCGGCAGCACTGGGCGAAGGTTTTAGGAGGGGAAGTGTCGAGGCAACGAAGGACGATGGGATCAGAATGAAGAAAAATTCAAAACTTCTATAGTGCAGATTGTCCAAATGTGAAATCTTACATTTTGAGAAACCTACTTTTATCCCTAAAAAATTAAACCTAAATGTGTAAGTAACTACCTTTTTATGTAATTTCTATTTTAATGTGACCTTTGAGTTAAAAAAAAAAACAAAACAAAACAAAACTAAACTAAACTAAACCGTTCACAAGATCATAATTTAGAATTTGTTGGTGCTTTACCTAAGAAGTAAACCCATTTATTTGAACTTCAAAAAAAATTTAAATAATAAATGCATTATTTAAAATGTTAAATTCTAAATTGTTTATGTAGTGTACAATAATTTAATATAATTAATTTTAAAGAGATTGATTATTTTAAAGTATTTTATCAATAAAAATTTAGTTTTTTTCATTAAATATTTTAATAATGTCTTAACAATTTAAGGGTTATATTTAATATTACATGAAATTTAAAAAATTTATTAAATAAATCTAAAATATATATGAGTCTTCGATAATATATATATATATATATAAAACGTCAGGTGAGTTAAGTGTAATTTACCCATATTGATAATGAATGAGACTTCTTGGTTTGTGAGTGTTTTCATATTTTCATGTGCAAATCAAATGGTAATATCGTCATTTTCACACCCAACTAACCTTTTTTGTACGAATTTAACATATTTGGATAATAGTTTCAAAAATAAAGGAGGTTAGTGTAATTATTAAAATTACAGAAGATATTTTTGTAATTGTCAAAATTCTCAGAAAAGGTAAGTGTAATTTATCCCTTTTTTTTTTCTACCAAACATGTTAATTATATTTGAATGGGTATATTTAAATGGCCCATAGATTAAAGCAAACATGCTTAAGATGCTAATAAAAAATATGGTATAACATACACGGATGATAATGATATCTGAATATTCTGATATTTTTATCTTATTATATTTAATTGGATAAATTACACTGACCTCCCTTGAGGCTTGCCTTAATTACAAGAACCTCTCCTGTAGTTTCAAAACTTACATTGACCTCCCTTACTTTTGAAACTAATGTAAAAAGACCCCCTTCGGGTCAAAAGAGCCTTAACGACATTAACTTGACAGTGAAATTGACCATAATACCCTTCAACCCATTGTCTTCCACAAAAACCTAACCCACTATGTATCATCAACATCTTTTTTACTCTACTACCCATTTCTTCCATTGTCTTCCTCACACTCTCTTCCCAAACCTCTCTAATCAAAAACCCAAAATCCAAACCAACAACAACCCATCTTATACACACCCAAATCGCTAACTCAGCTTGCGATGGAACTCTCTATCCAATCCTCTGTGTCTCTACAATTTACACATTGAATGACCTCCTATGCCGATCAAACACACACATGCACAGAGTGTTAAAAAATTCAAATTGGCAATGCATGCATAGATAATTCGACAATTGATTCAAGGGTTTAAGCAAAGAATCAGATATATAAAGTGAGAGGGAGAAAAGGATATGAAGAACAAGTATGTTGGAGTGTGGATTGAAGTACATGACTTGGCCTTCGAGCTCTTCTCCGAGTGTGGTTTTAATTGAAAGAATGCATCCCACTGTTATTTTTTCGCCTCCGTCGATAATCGAATCCATGGCTCTCTCTCTCTCTCTTTCTCTATGTGTGTTTACTCAATCACAATTGTTTTGTGCTTGGCAAGAACATGTCCAACACAAGTCAAATCAGGTGCAAAGGTTTAAGACCATAACAAATAGAGATTGAAGTTCCAATTGATATGAGATTTGTTCGTAATCTAGTCAAGAACTCTGCTATCCTCTTGCCTTCTTGAGCCTCATATCTTC